TTGTCTACAATATAGAAATGAAATAGGAGAGGCTGACTTGATTGGAATCAAGATGGTTTCTTTTAAGAGAGCTTTTGGCTTTCAGATCAGGCAGCAGTGGAGTGGGCAAGTTCCCACCTATTTTTACATGTAAGTACTTTTGTAAAACACTTTCTCTAGTAAATACTTGAAACCAGCTCCTTTTTTACCATTTGGCTTCATTAGTATTCTCAGGGATTTACCTAGAAGATCATTAAACTTTAGCCAGAGGGATTTTTAACCTGTTTATAAAATATAGTATTAACTGCCTTTCAACAGTGAATGTCTCAGTACTTTTCCTAAGTGAAATCAGGGGTCATGGGATTTTAGGCTGGAAAGATCTTAAGTGTTCTCCAGGATGGAATAGGCACGGGGGCAGGGGCGGGGGTGGGGGTTTGCGCAGGGAGGGCTAGGATAGGTGAAGGAACTGAATCAGAGTGTTTTACATCATCTCTTCCATCAAACCTCCTCTTCTTCAGATGACCTGAACATCGGTGGAATTATTGGGGGAGTCCTGGTTGTCCTTGTAGTACTGGCCCTGATAACCGTGGGTATCTGCTGTGCCTATAGACGTGGTTACTTCATCAACAAACAGGACGGAGAAAGGTAGCCTGCCTTACAAAGAAATCAGAGTTCAAGTTGGTGTTAATATGACAACCAGTAGTCATTGAACTGCCTTTTCTCCTGTTCACAGCTATAAGAACCCAGGGAAGGCTGATGGTGTTAACTACATCAGGACAGATGATGAGGTAAGAGAGACATGGTTTAGAAGATCTCGAAATCTAGGTGTGCCCAGCAGGGAAAATGTTATTCCTACTTGGAAACTAAGTTGGTCCCACAAGACAAAGATTCCCAAGGTTTACTGCTGACTCTGCACTTTATCCCTTCACAATGGTATTCCCACACTTGAATGGAACTTATAATTCGCAAGCTGTACTTTATTAAATTATTTCACTTAATTTCAAATTTGCTCTAGGTCTCTTCAAAGAAATGGTGAAACCACTGTTAGATTTATTTGAACATGATCTTTCCTTTCCCACTGGGGGTGCTGATGGTGGATTAGCAGAGGGTTTTGTTGTAACTGTGTGTTCTTTTGCAGGGTGACTTCCGACATAAGTCATCATTTGTGATCTAAAATCTGACAGTATGGCCAAGAGAACACATGCAAATACCTCTACTAGAAACTCCTATTAAGAGCAACCTATGAGCAAAGTGCACTTGGAAAAAGCTAGACACTCATGCAAAAGCTGCTGCTGCTTTTTTGTTTTTGGCCAAAGTTGACCACTACTCCTTTCTTATTCTTTAACAAGTCACATGAAAAGAAGAATTTTCTCAAGATGGGCATAATAATCACAAGGGAAAAAATCATGATGTTCACTAAGTTTGGTTCCCATGTATTATGGTGACTTTAAAAATACTGCTCACATAAGCTTTCTGTTTGGACACTGAAGACCTGTTAAGGCAATTTGCCCCTAGTTGTTCATCACCTAGTATGAGCTCAAAGTGAGGGAAGGATGAAGTTGCTTCTTGGAGCCAGCAGTAGGAAACAAGAGCTTGCACCCCTGCAGGAAACAAGCAGCGGAGCTTGAGTCGGATAGACCCAGAGGTTTGCACACAATTGAGTGGTTTAAACATCAAAATTTCTTGTTAAATCTTTTTACAGCAGTGTTGTAGTGTTTATATTGGAGAATATTTCTGGATCAACATTTTGTAAAAACAACTAAAATCAAGAGGTAGAATGCTTGCTGGAAAAAGGGTCTGTAGGAATGAGTGTCCATGAGGGTTTCAGTATTTAAAGAAGACCTTCATCTTAGGCTAAATTTGAAATGGTACTAAAATTATGTTTTGCTTTTCTATGTGTCTTTATAAAATTTTACAGTCTAAATTTTTGCAAAAGATGTATTTTGATTATTGATAAGAAATTTCTATTTAAACTGTAAATATGTTGTCATGCAATGTTAAATAACCTATTTTTTTAAAAGCTTTCAACTGTAGGCAGGACTTCCAAAGTATTAGGTATATTGGAAAATATCAATGATTAGAGTACTTTACCCAAGGAATCCGCTCAAGGAGGCTTACTGGAACATTCCTTTTTCCACATCAGTTTTAGCATTTTTCACAAGAGAACTTCTGTCATCTATACACCAAACCATTGCTGCTTAGGAAACCTTTAAAAACTTCCATTTACAGTGTTGAAATCTACACTAGCTCTTCAAAAGAAATACAAGGAGCTCTCAGGATAGCTTTGGACTGCGTCTTCCTTAGATTACGAAAACCACCTATTCCCAAAGACCACCCAGAAGCTCTTAGATGCCCATGTCCAAACCACTTCAGGCAAACTCCTGGAATTGAGCTACGTACCATCCCCCTCTATAGTGGCATAGACTACTTCCTTCGAGTATTGGCCAAAGTGTCCACTTCTTCCTCAAGAGCCCTATGCCTTTGTGTCCTGGCCAGCTTTAATTCTCTGTCTCCTGTGACATACGCCACTTACTTCATTCCAGGTCAGTTCTAAGGTGGGCGTTTCAGGAAAGCTGGGTGGTTTCCAGGTGGCTTCCCAGTCTTGTGACAGAGCTCCACTTTTATATTTGTAGATGGTTCACAAAATAAGCAACTACCGTGCTTTGTTTTTTAAGTTCATTTTTAATATTGTGTATTTTGTAAGATTGAAGGCCACTGGCAATTTTGAAATCAAGTCTATCAAGTACTATACTATTTTTTAAAGAAAATTAATGTCATTATTTTTCTTTGCCATGAAGACCATAGGGTCTGTCTCATTACACAATAAACCATTAAAAGGTGGCAGCCAGTCTAGCTTTTTGAAGAATATTATGGTGCAGTCAAGGTAAAAGGCCTGATGGTGAGGAAAGTAAAATGCCTAAATCAAAAGCAGTTTTCTGGATCTGATTTTTAAATTTTACCTGCCTGAGACACTGCTCTCTTTGTGGGGAACATGAGAAACATTATTCAAAACCTCTGTTCTTCAAGAGTAGATGTTCTGAGGGTCAAATACTGTGTTAAGGCTTATGATGTGATTTGAAGCAATGAGTTTCTCAAAAGGAGTGCCAGTAATTCCATTGTGCACTTAAAAGGCGGCTTTTATATAGAAGACTGTAGTCATCTTGTGATTAAAACTTTGTGTCTTAATTTGTAATGCTTTGACAGTTTTTTAAAAATTGACTTTTTGAGACTTTTTTTCTAAGTTATGTGAAATACTTTGTCATGGGATATTTGGCAGAAGCAGTGTGGGCAACTTGTAATTGCTTAATGGTACCTACCGTTTGCATTTGCATCTTGAATGCACAGAATTAAGACTATCCCTTCATCTTCACCTCTTCTGTAGGTTAGGGTGCTTCCCTTCCTCTTTGCAGGGGGTTATCACACTCTAGCTTTCATCTTGGTTGCCATAGTGATAGGATCACCTTATTGCCTCACCCTTTTCTATACTAAAGCCTTTTCTACCCTCGTGCCATGTGTAACTGGGTGTGACAAAGTAGAGACGTGAAATGTGGAGTCTGGGAAATAGTTGCCTATTACTATAAAAATGTAGACAGAAAAGGAAAAATGTATTCCTACGAATGTGACTAATGATTCAAAAGACCTATTTTTACACAAGGCTGTTATTTTGGCCTTTGGTATGGATGTTGTTGTACATAGATGTTACAAACTTGTAGTAACACCCCTATAACTTGGTTTTTGTTAAACCTCATTTATAAAAGCTTTTAAAAAAAAATCAACTTAGCCTCATTGTTTTTAATTTACTCATTTATTGGGTTTCACCTATTTGACTTCAAGTGGACCAGGTTGAGAGAGACTGGTACACTGTACACCAGGGAGACCGGTGCTGAACTATGTTATCAGTCTACTCAGTGAAGCCCGGGGTGTGGGGCAGTGCACACAGGGGAGAAGAGCATGACATTCCATCCCTCAAAGCCAGTTATCACATTTGTATTTCAGCATCTATTTACAAAAGTAACTCTGTTTTTCTGTTTCTCTAATACTAGGATATAAAAGGAAGCAATTACTGATTGTGCTTGAACAAAACAAACATACAAGTGTTTTCAGTTTACCTAGCAAAGGTCGGTAGTTCAAACCCACCAGCTGCTCCTCAGAAACCCTATGCTGGGTTGCTATGAGGCAGAACCAACTTGATGGTACTTACCAACAACAATGGGTCACCAGGTTACAAGTGTCCCACCATATGGCAGCAGTCCTTGAATGCTACACAAGCCAGCATTTGGGCTATTCTGCATAAGAGACACGAAGCCTTTTTTAAAAAAATAAGTATGTATTGTATTTATGTTTGTTGTTGGGAGACAACTTTTATTTGGGAACAAAGGTAAATGGGCCAAATCTTAAAGACAAACAGAACGAACGAAGTCAGGCTGCTAACCCCAAGGTCAGCAGTTCAAAACTACAAGCTGTTCCTCGAGAGAAAGATGAGGCTTTCTGCTCCTACAAAGATTTATAGCCTAAGAAACCCTATACAAGGTCACTATGAGTAGGAACCGTACATAACCACCACCAACAGAAAAGATCATCTCTCTCTTCTTAAACACTTTATGTAAAATTAAAATTACTACCAATAAAAACCCTATTCTAAAATTAGAAAGACTCTTAATATTAGAGGGCTGTTTTTATTGCTTAATCTTTATTGATGGAATATAGCTTATTGGAATTTACTCGACACGTTCAAATGGAATAAAGTTATTAAATAGCTGAAGTTTAGGCATAAGAAAATCTAAATCTGACACTGCTCTTTTATTATCTTACAATTTAACCACATTAATTAACAAAGAGAAATATAAAAGATTTGTCAGCTAAAAACATAGTAAATAAGAGTGCTGGAATCATCAAGAAAAGTTTTGTATTCCAAGATAAGAGCATCAGTAAGGTGGAAGACAGCTGCACTTCTTTCCACATGCATGAAACAAACTTTCCTTAAATGTCCTTTTTCCAGGCCACTCCTTGGAATGCAATGTTTAGTTGGCTGTTTTCAGGGGGGTCTTTCGGAGGGACTTCCTACTGGGGGCTGGGCTGTCTTTATTTCTGGTTGGAGATTTCACATTCCACTGCTGAGGCTGTGGAGGCCTAGGGAAAGAAAAGATACCATTATTTTGAAATGGAAAGAAAAATCCTAAGAAAACACTCACCTGAAAAGGAACTCTTAGTAGACTTACGATTTATCCGGCAGTGATAAACACAGTATATCAGTTCCTTGACTCTGGACTTCACTTTTATCTGAAAGGGAGTCAAACACAAATTCAGTTTTTTCTAGGCTCCCCAAGTAGGCAATGTGCCAGACAGGAAGGGGCAGCACTGGTAACTTGCCTTTGTGTGTAAAAGGAGTCCGTGATATGCTGATGTAACTAACCCCTGCTCCAAATGAGATCTCACTGATGGTTCCTAGGTAAAGGGGAAAATACTACTGAGTAAAAAATTGGTACAAACATTAGAGAAAGTCAAATGAGCAAGGTCAGTTAAGACTTTCTGCCAGTTTCCATTCAGTCTCTCCACCCTCCACCAGTACAGAGTATTCTGGATTTAAATAGCACAGGCCTCCTGAAACTCACTCCCTTTTCTTACATGGCACTGATCTCTGTTGATTTTCCTGTTTTTCTTATCACTCCCCTACTTACAATACTTTGCCGGCCCTAAGTATTTACTGATGACAGTCTTCCGCATTTTCTCATCCACTCTCATGTCAATTACTACTTATCTGTCAATGACCCCCCAACTCAAGCACAGATCTTTCCTGAATTCTAGTTCTATAATTCCTGCTGTATTCATCTGGAATCCCTGAAGACACTTCACCAATTCATTACCTCTGCTCCTCAACATGTTCCTCCTTTGTTCTTATCTCAGGCATGGTGGAGCAGGTTCTGACTCATGCCTTTGTATAGGGTTTCTGAGGTTGTAAATCTTTACAGGAGCAAAAAGCTTCATCTTTCTCCCATGGAGCAAATGGTGGATTCGAACTGCTGAGTTTGTGGTTAACATCATTAGCTACCTCTTCACATCTATCCATAACCAAGTCCTGTATGTTTTATCTTCAAGTCTCTCTTGATTCATTCTGTGTCCTCCTCTGTGCACTTCTCGGTGTATCTCACCCTTGATATATCACTGTGGTTTCCCATTTATGGACTCTGTTGCTTCTGTCACGAGGCAGTAGAACAGTATTTAAGAATGAACACAGACTCTGAATCAGACTCTGGGTTTGAGTTCTGCCTTTGCCTCACTAGTTGTGTGAACTTGTAGTTGTTAAGTGCCACCGAGTCAGTTCAGACCCATAGTGACCCTGTATAGGGTTTCCGAGGAGTGGCTGGTGAGCTTGTGTGAATTATTCACCTGAAAAATGGGGATAACAATGTATCTACCTCAGAGGGTACTTGTTAGATTTGAGTGAGATTATTCATGTAAAGTGCTTATAACACAATACCTGGTATAAGCTAAACAAGGAAGAAATACAGGACAATGATTATTATTAAATAGCTATGATCCCCATGTGACCTGGTATGTTGTTAAGTGCCATAAAGTTGGTCTGGCTCATAGCAATCCTGTATAGGGTTTCTAAGGAGTGGCTGGTGGGTTTGAACCAACAACCTTGTGGACAGCGGTCCAGTGCTTGTTCTACAGCATCACACCAGAACTCCAGAGTGATGTTTAATTAAAGATACAGTAAGGTTACAGTCCCACTTAAGCACCTAGATGGCTCAGTGTTTTGTGGAAGACCTAAAATCCAACTTCAGTCTGATGCAAGCTGCCCCCAACCTGCCTTTACAGACTCACTGGGGCATGCAAATGCCGGGACTCACTGCACCTCGGTCTTGCCACTCTCAGCATGCCCTGGACTGCCAACCTGGGTCTCCAAGCACAGTTCTTTTTGCCTGGAGTTCCCCCTGATCTGACAACACAGTATAATTTCTTTGAGACTGAGATTCCGAAGCAGATTCTAAAGTCTTCCCCTAGTGGTTGTTTTGTGTCATGGGCCTGTACCATTTTGCATATGTGCCTTAGTGGAACTTACCAAATTACACTGTAATAATATTTGTTTCTTCAGTAAGTCCACTCTTTTCACTTACCTGTGCACAACACCCCTCCATCCCCCCACTGTAGCAGCCTAAAACTTGGTACAGGTCCCACGAGGTTGTTGCAGAGTACACTGCACTTTTAAAGCCCCCATCGTTTCTGTAAGAGTCCTGGTATGTGGCGCTGTGGCTTAATGAGCTGGACTGTGAAGTTGGTTTGAACCGCAAGGTCGGCAGTTCAAGCTCAACAGTCACTCCTCAGAACCTCTAGATACAGTCACTGTGCATCAGAACTGACTCTATGGCACTTAACAACAACAAAATTCTTGCTGTAAGAACATTTATAAAATAAATTTTATCCTTGCTACATTTCTCCCACAAACTGCCACCTCCTTACACAGTCATGTGTCTTTAACCTGTTGTAAGACCCATTGGCATATCTGCAATGCTACACACCTGTAAGAGTCCTGCTGTGGTGCTGTGGGCTAATGCGTCAGACTACAAAGTTGTTTGAACTGCAAGGTCGGTGGTTCAAGCTCACCAGCTGTTCCTTGGAAACCCTATAGAGGGGTCGCTATGGGTAGGAATTGACTAGACGGCACTTAACAACACACCAATAGCTACTGAAGTTTTTTATCACTACCATTAAAAGAGCTTGGTTCTGCAGATTACCACTTCCGCGAGGTCTCTCTCCTTAGGCTTCCACGTGAATTCCCCTCTGTAAACGCTGTTGCTGCTGAGTTTATTCTGACTCAGGGGCCCTATAGGACAGAGTAGAACTCCCCCTCCCCCACAGTGTTTCCAAGACTATAATCTTTATCAAAGAAACACTGGTGGCCCAGTGGGGTAAGCATTGGGCTGCTATGGTTTAAACCCCCCCAGGCTTTCCAAGAAAGAGGATGCTGTTGCTCCTATAAAGATTTCCAGCCTGAGAAACCCTCGGGAGCAGTTGGACGCTGTCCTATAGAGCTGCTCTGAGTGAGAATCAACTTGAAGGCAGTGGGTAATTGTTACCGAACTTTACCAAGTACCTATCCAGTAGCTCCCAAGCCCTTGGTCTACTGTGTTTAGAATCAAAAGCAAAAAGCCTCCTTTTGGTGCCCTAATTATAGCAATAAGAGGCATATGCTAACTCCCCTCCCCCAACAGGTTTCCAGTACAAATCCTACCTCTGAAAAGTATTAATTTCCACTTAGCAAAACCACTGTGTTCATGCCGAATAACACTGGTGTGCAGAATAGCTGAGCTGGGCACCATTTTCCTGTTTAGCTTTGTAGAGCTGACAGCACTTCCTGACAGGCATCCTCACATGACCTTATAGAGCTATCAAAAGCACTTGTGTTTATAAATAAGAGAAAACAGAACTGGGTTCTTCTAAGTTATCACATTAATTCTCCCAGAAAAGAAAGTTAATGGGATACCCTTCTTAAAGCAGTGCTTCCTGGTCCGGAATAAAGGGACATACCCCAAATTTGCATCAGCTGGAAGTTTACATTTAAGAGACTATAGAAAGAACAAGTGTGTGACTGATCTGATGGCACTGTGTCTGGTCTCACTGAACAGCTCCGTATGTGCAAATTAAAGCAACATCCATACCCAGTCAGGGGTCTCTGCCAAGGGGCACATGCTGCTGGGAAACCAGCCACAGTTGGAAGCCAGAGGCTCTGGGGGAACAGAGCCATCGCGAGAACCAGTCTTCTTGCTCCTACGGCAGATGGTACCCAACCACCAGAATAGAAGTGCTTGGTGCTCCAAGTCAGGAGCACAGAACAGACAGACAACATCTACATTTGAAAGAAGGTGAATTTTTACATATCTAATAGCACACCTGTTCAATATAGAGGAACCAAACATTACTCACTGCCTATAATGATAAAAAGTGCTATGATTTAGTCATCATCTGAGGAGAGGGGTATGCTGAGAAGTCTGCTCATTAATTTCCCTTAAAATGGTAATTTACCTAAAAATGATCTATAACCTGTTAAATATTCTAAGAGCTCACAGCACCACAGGGTAATAGCAACAGGCAAGTATGTGGAACACAAGAGGCACTCACTAAATGTCTACTGACTGAAGGTAGGACTAAGTGAATGGCTTCACTCCTGATGCTACAAGGGTCACAAAGGAGAACATCTTCCCACTCCTCTCATTCTCACACATAAGAACATGGTGACAAAAACAAGGCTGAAAAGAAACCCAGACATGGAATCAGAAAACCTGAGTTCAAGCTCAGCTCTGCCATCCTTTGGGGTCCCTTAGCAACTACCTGTTTTACATCTAGCATGTTCTAGCACTGTGAAGGCACAGAGCAGAGTGGTAAGAACTGCTGAGAAGGTCAGTGTGCCCAGTGAAGAGGGCCCTGATCTACTCTGCGGGTCTGGATTTAGGATGACAAGATGGCATGTATTCCTGAGGCAGGAAGAGCACAGCTCAGTGCAGATACTCAGAGGATGGTACACAGTGAAGAAGCAGCAGTGAGCAGTGGGGGATAAAGAACAGGGGGTAACGTGGAAGACACACCAGGCAGGATCTTGAAAGCAGACAACAGGTTTCAGGCAGTGACAATCGCTATACTAATTATTTGAAAAGAATGGCTTTTATGGACTTTGAGACAATAAAAATATATTTTTATTATAAAGGCTTAATGGGAAAAATATTCTATACTTCCAGCTTCACATGAAAACTAAGGTATAACAAAATACCACTAGGGAGTAAATGCATTGCTTACTATTTTAGCACTGTTAGAATACACCACTGAGTTACGAGTCTCATTTCCTCAGGAGTGGAACTATGTAACATACAAGGTACCTTCTAGTGCTAACATCTGATCATCCTCTAGACCAGAACACCCTTAGACACCTGAGCCTCATGACTGGCTCTAGATCTGTACTGACAAGGGAAGCAACTTAAAACTTGTCTGGGCCTCAGTGTCATCTGTAAAATAAGGATACCATTAATACTCACTTCACAGGATGGTTGAGATTTAAATGTATAAACACTGGAAAGATGGCTTGACATTCAGGAAGTGCTCAAGTGAGGTAATATAATTATGAAACATTCAGTCTACTACTAATATAATGAACTAACATGTGAGTATCGAGAGTCTATCCACCTGAAAGAACTGTCTTGTATCAGTTTTAACTCCAGCAAATACATAATGAGCTAGGGTGAGGAGTTGTAACCTCACAGCAGTTACTTACGGTCAGGGGTGCTGATTGCTCTTTTAGTCACAGGATCCACAGAACCACGAGACTCTTGGTTCAAGCTGTAAGACGAGCCTAGGATAACATAAAACACTGTCATCTGTCCCAAACACAACAAAAACAGTATCAAAAAGCAATATAATCATGTGAGAAGAAATGTCCAAGATATACAACAAAGTTAATACTCTCAATATTTGAAGTGTTTCTGTAAAGAGGCAATAACAAAAGAAACACAAATACATGACACATGAGGGAAACAGTCCATCCTCACCATGATTCAAAGAAACAGCAATCAAACAATGACATTCTTGATCTACAGAACTCAGAAAGAAAGCCATTACAAACCCAATGTCCCTTAGGAAGGTATAATTGGGCATGAATCATGGAAGACATTTTCAAATATTCATAGCTTTTGCCTTCTGGAAATTAACCCTAATGGTTACATATATACAAACTTATGTACAAGGATGTTCACTGTGACATTATACAAAATAAAATCATAAACCATAAAAACTGGAAAGCACCTACATCTCAAGCAGAGGGTAGTTACAATACTTCCACAAGACAAAATGCTATATAAAGTCACTGTAAGAAGAATTGTGCAATGCGACGCACCCTATGATCACCATTTTATAATTAACACATAAAACATACATACCTGAGTGTGCTAAGAAAGACTGGAAGAATAAACATTTAACTGCTACGGATGAGTTTTACTTTTTGTGCAATTTTCCAAATCTTTCATCATAAATATGCATTGCTTTATTGCTTAGAACTCCAAGTCCCAATTACTGTTATCTGTCTTAACAATAAGGAAGTAAAAACCACTTGACACTGAATGACAAGCAAGCTTGTTCTGTAGGTGCTTTAATCGGCATGATCTCACTATTTCCATCAGGAGACTGAAGACCAAGGAGGAGTTCTAGGACTTTCCTGGGGCTAACCTAGAGGCATACCTTGATTGTGGCTCTTGCCTGAACTTCTAGAATTCAAACTGAAAGGCAGCACTCCTATGCTTCGACTCCTATGCCTATTATTTGACTCCACAGCTTTCTTGACAGAGTTCAGGATAGCAATGGTGCTCAGGGACATAGGTCTGTGGAAGAGAAAAAGCCCCCAAGGTTAATTTTTCTAACTGCAGACCCTGTACCAAGTGAGAGTAAACACAGCACAGTCACTATCCCAGTCTTCCACTGGACCACTCATCTGCACACGCTCTCACCCAGAGGACCCACACTGAAAAGACCTGGTGCGCAACAGCAGGTCCTCTGAGATTTGACCAGCATTATACCTGGCTTTGGGTATTAACATCTTAAATGGTCCAGTGTCAGGTGAAGGCGGTGTAGATCCTCTGCCAGGGCTTGATCTTGGTGTTGCAGGAGTCACAGCTGCATTTTCTTGGCCAACAGGAGTTGGCATATTTTCTAAAGTCGGAGTAACCTGTTAGAGAAGATAAAAGGGTATTTGGTATTTACCTTTTAACTCTTGTTTTCTATAGAGTTTTCACATGCTTGAGCAACTCTGTGAGTAATCTATTTTAAAAACATGTCAGCCCTGAGCTAGTAGAGCTTTCTCTTCAGAAACAGTACTGTTGGCAGATTGCCACAGTAGATATTGTGGCACTAAAGGAGACAAAGGAGTAAGGTCGTCGTCTTCATTTTTTAATGTAGCAGATCTGTCTAGATTCATTGGGCAGGAGAATACGTTGCTTCTGAAAGTGAGCAGCAGATAAACCCAGAAATACCCCAAGTGACAATATACTCTAGAAAGGAGGGTGTGTTGGGGGAAACACTGCAAACAAATGAAAACACCCAGGGAAAGTTAATTATCTAAAATCACTATAATCAAATAACCTGATTGCCAGCTCACTTTCTGGGCACTAACACATTTTCCCAACTGTTATTACAAGGATGCTCCAGACAAATTCACATGGCACAGTCTTGTGGAAAGGAAGCTGCCCACGGTGGAGCTGCCTGTCTATCTCACTTAAGAAATGAACATGATAGTGGCAAAAAAACCCAAAACAAAGGTTTAACCTAAACTGACCTTGGATCATTTCTGCATTCTGAGAAATGTTGCAAAAAGTTATTATAGAAAGCAGCCGGGAGAGCAAGATCAAGCCCAAGGTGGGTCTCTTCCTACCTGCCCTGCTGGTACCACGCTGGCCCCTTCTTCAGCAGTCCTGTTCACATCTAGCTGATTTGCCAGCTCTTGCTCCTGAGCTAGCTGTTCATTGTACTTTTTCATGTCATATTCAAGCTCTGATGCCAGCTGTTTGTCAACTGCAAAGAAGTCCTTGATTTCATCTCGGTAATCCTGCATCACCTCCTGAAACAGATCCAGCAGCATTCTTTGATTATTTTCTTGAATAAAAAAATAAAGACTCTTAGACATAAAATTAAATAATAATAATTTTCCTGGGGCTTAAAATAAAGATTTACTTTGGTGACAGCAAAGTATTCCTATTACAAGTTAATTATCATAGTAATAAATTCCCAAGAAATACCAACCACCACAAGTGTATTTACCACAAGCAAGTGAGCACGATGTTAACAAATAGCTTTGATTTCTTAGAAAGCTTCATGTCAATCTGCTAGTTAACATGCAATTTTTCAGCTTCCTGGTTGAATAAGAGACATGGAATCATGCAATTTTAGCCAAGTACAGAACTTGCACTGGAGCAGGACTGTCCCAAATTGCTACCTCCTTCCCATCCCCAACCGACCAAGGCTGGGATGGGGACAGTAATGCATTTGGGGGGTCTGGCTTGGCATGAGGTTTCAACCAGTTCAGGAGATCTTATAGTCAAGTGAAGCAGGCCAGTCAGAAGTGAAGGTAGAGGTCTGGCAGGTAGGTACAAACGGTGCTGTCCTGGCTCTGACAAGGCTTTAGGGGTCAGCCACAGGAAGCAGTGCAATCTAAAAGCTAGTCAGCTCTCTGCACCACCTTTCCCACCGACTCTCAGAAATTTTGAATTGTTGCTCTGTTCACATCTTGTGGCTCCTCTGAAGAGGTTTCAGAGAAGCTTTTACTATGGCAAGTGTTTATCATTCTCAGATCTTACAGAGAGTTGCTAGGGGCAAAACCTGTTTACTAAGAGACCATTTTGACTAACAGTGTTTGGGGGAAGAAAAAGCTCCAACTATAACGGAAGTTCAAGGAACTCTGGTAGCAAAGTGGGCTACATGTTAGGCTGCTAACTGCAAGGTCAGCAGTTCGAATCCACCAGCTGAACTTTGGGAGAAAGATGAGGTTTTTTGCTTCCATAAAGATTTACAGCCTTGGAAATTCTGTACTGGGTTGCTATGAGACAGAAGCAACTTGACGGCACCCAACCACCACCATCCTAAGGGAAGTCCAGTGAGGAGAAGGCTAGCTATCATTCTAGAGTAGGTCTTACTCAGGCAGCTTTAGCTGTTGTTAGTTGCCTTCAAGTACTGTTGTTGCTTGATGCCATCAAGTCAATTCCAACTCACAATGACTCCATGTGTTACACAGCATAGCTGCTCTACAGGATTACCAAAGCTATGATCTTTCCAGAGCAGATCGGCAGATTTATCTCTTGAGGTACCTCTTAGTGGGCTCAAACTGCCAACCTTGACTAGTACTCAAGCACTTAACCATTAAAAAAAAAAAAAAAAGAAGAAACACCGTTACAGAATTAATGCACCACTGCAGCCATTCTCTGCATATATCTCAAATAAGGAGGCAGATTTATTCTCACACAAGTGTCGAAATGGTCTCTTAGGACTTAAGCAGTTCTTTTTTCTTTCCAGAAGTTCAAAACAAGGTAATAAAAATATAAAAACAGTAACAAGTTCTCATTTTTCTAAGAGCTTATCTTTCTCACCTTTAATTCCTATAAGACAAAACACAATGTGAAATTTCCTAGTCATTGTTATTTTTTGAGTTAGTGTGATGCACAGTGGCCCTATGTATGAAGCTCTGCCATCCTCACAATCGTTACTGTGTTTGAAACCATTGTTAGCCATCGAGTCCATCCAGCTCATTCTGTTGTTCACTGGTCCTCTACTTTATTGTTGTGGTTAGCTGCCGTTAAGTTGGTTCTGGCTCATAGACACCCTACACACAAGAGAACAAAACACTGCCCAGTCCCGCACCACCCTCACAATTCTTATGCTTGAATCCAATGCTGCTGCCACTATGCCAAGCCATATCACTAGGGGGTATCACTAACCTTCCACTTTACAAACCATGATGTTCTTCTCCAGGGATTGGTCCTTCCAGATAGCATGTCTGAAGTATGACAGACGAAGTCTGGCATCCTGGCTTCTAAGAAACATTCTGACTATACTTCCAACACAGATTTGTTTGTTCTTCTGGCAGTCCATGGTATTTTTAATATTCTCTTTCAACACCATAATACAAATGCATCAATTCTTTTACAATGTTTCATTATTCACTGTTCAACTTTCACATGCATATGAAGGCAATTGAAAATACCAGGGGGCTTAGGTTAGGCACCATCTTAGTCCTCAAACTGACATTTCTGCTTTTGAGCACTAAAGAGGTCTTGTGCAACATGCCATTTGATTTCTTGACGGCTGCTTCCATGAATGTTGATTGTGGATCCAAGCACAAGGAACTTTGACAACTTCAATCTTTTCTCCATTAATATGGATGCTGTTTATTAATCCAGTGGTAGGTACTTTTGTTTTATTTACACTGAGGTCCAATCCATACAGAAGACTGTAGTCTTTGATTTTCATCAGTTAAGTATTTTATGTCCTCTTGACTTTCAGCAAGCTAGGTTGTATCATCTGTAAATTTCAGGTTGCTAATGAATCTTTCTTCAATCCTGATGCCATATTCTTCATATAATCTAGCTTCTTGGATTATCTGCTCAGCATACAGATTGAATAAGTATGGTGAAAGAATACAAACCTTGTGCACACCCTTCTTGATTTTAAATCATTGAGTATACTGGATGACTGCCTCTTGTTTTGTGTGCAGGTTCCTCATAAGCACAGTTAGGTGTTCTGGAATACCCATTCTTCACAATATTATCCATAGTTTGTCATGATCAATAACGTGGAAGCTTTTGCATAGTGAATAAAGCACAACTAAGCATCTTTCTGGTACTCCCTGCTTTCAGCCAACATCCATCTGACATCAGCAATGATAGCCCTCATTTCACATCCTCTTCTGAATCAATCCATTCTGGCAGTTCTTGTAGATGTACTGTTGCAATAGTTTCTCTGAATTTTCTTCAGCAAAATTTTACTTGTATATGATATTAATGATATTGTTCAATAATTTCCACATTCCATTGGGTCACCTCTCTTTGGAAAGGACACAAATATGGATCTCTTTCCATCGGTTGGCCACAAAGCTGTCGTCCAAATTTCGTGGCATAGCTGAGTGAGTGCCACCAGTGCTTCATCAGTTTGTTGAAATATTTCAATTAGCATTCTGTCAAATTTGAGCCTGTATTTTTGCTAATGCCTTCAGTGCAGCTTCTATTTCTTCAGTACCATTGGTTGTTGATCATATGCTGCCTCTTATAATGGTTGAACATAGGCCACTTCTATTTGATACACTATGTATTCCTTACATCTTTTTTTTTTTTTTTTGATGCTTTCTGCACCATTCAATATTGTCATTGTTGTTAGGTGCCATTGAGTCAGTACCGATTCATAGCAAACAAAACATTGCCCGAGCCTGGGCCAACGTCACTATTGTTGCTACACTTGAGCCCACTGATGCTGCCACTTTGCCAGTCCATCTCGCTGGAGGTCTTCCTCTTTTTCTCTGACCCTCCATCCTACCAAAGATGATATCCTTCTCCAGCGACTGGTCCCTCCTGACAATATGTCCGAAGTATGAGAGATGAAGTTTGGCCACCTTGGCCTCCAAGGAGCACTCTGGCTGCACTTCTTCCAACATGAATCTGTTAGTTCTTTTGGCAGCCCATGGCACTTTCTATATTCTCCTCCAACACTAGAACTCAAAAGCATCAATCCTTCTCCGGTCTTCCTTATTCAGTGTCCAGCTTTTGCATGCATATGAGATTATTGAAAACACCATGGCTTGGGTCAGGAGCACCTTAGTCTTCTAGCACCTAGCTGACATCTCTGCTCTTCAACACGTTAAAAGGTCTTGTGCAGCAGATTTGCCTAATGCAATATGTCATTTGATTTCTTGACTGTTGCTTCCATAAGAGTTGATGGTTGATCCAAGAAAAATGAAGTCCTTGACAATTTTAATTTTTTCTCTGTTGATAAGAATGTTGCTTATTGGTCCACTGGTGAGGATTTCTGTTTTCTTTACATTGAGATGCAATCCATACCGAAGGCTGTGCTCTTTGATCTTCATCAGTAAATATTTTAATATTTATAAAATTAATAAAAAAATCTTTTTCACTTTCAGCAAGCAAGGTTGTATCATCTGCATATCACAGGTTGTTTCAAGAAGTAGCATATGATGCCACGTGTTTCAAGAGGTAGCATATGATCAAGAGCCAATGATACTGAAGGAGTAAGTCCAAAGTGCATCGAACGAATTGGCAAAGAACAAGGCACCAGGAACTGATGGAACAAAAATTAAAATCTTTCAATAAAGTGAGGTGGCACAAGATGCACTAACTCATCTCTGCCAAGGAATTTGGAAGACAACCATCTGGCCAACTGATTGGAAGAGATCCATATTTGTGCCCATTCCAGAGAGAGAAGACCCAACGGAATGCAGAAATCATCAGACAATTTCTTTGAGATTCCATGTGAGTAAAGTTTTGCTAAAGGTAATACAGAAACGACTGCAAGCATACATTGACAAAGAACTTCTAGAGGTTCAAGCCAGATTCAGAAGAAGCTGTGGAATGAGGGATATCATTGTTGATGTCCGATGGATCTTGGCTGAAAGCATAAGAGTATCAGAAAGATGTTTACCTGTGCTTTATTGACTACACAAAGGCTTTCGATTGTATGGATCATGACAAGCTATGGACAACATTGTGAAGTATGAATATTCCTGAACTCTCAATTGTGCTCATGAGGAATCTACCTGGACCAAGAGGCAGCTGTTCGAACAGAACATGGGAACGCTTGAATGGTTTAAAATTAAGAAAGGTGTGCGACAGGGTTGTATTGTGGTCATAGAACCCTTCAATATTGCCAAGTGGAGACTTGCCTTTTTCCTTCAGTTCATAGAGTTTGAGAAATGCTGAGCATGTTCTTCTCTTTTGATTTCCTAAATCCAAATCTTGGCACATTTTATTACGTGACTTTATCTTCTTGAAATGTCCTTTGAAATTATCTGTTCTGCTCTTTGTCTCCTGATTTCTTCCATTTGATTTAGCAAATCTAGGCTGGATAGCAAATTTCAGAGTCTCTTATGATATGCATTTTGGTCTTTTCTGTCTTTTTAATGACATTTTGCTTTCTTTATGGGTGAGGTTCTTTCTAACAACATTTTGCTTTCTTCATAGACAATGTACTTTCCCATCTTTTTAATGATGTTTTGCTTTCTTCATGAATGATATTTTTGATGTCACTCCACAACTCTTCTGGTCTTCAGTCATTAATGTCTACTTTCCCAAGCATGATAACCTTCTCCAGAGACTGTTCCCTCCACATAACATATCCAAAGTATGTGAGACAAAGCCTTACCATGCTCACCTTCTCAGGAGCATTCCATTTTTCCAAAATAGATTTATTCATTCTTCTGGAGTTCTGGTATGATGTTGTAGGATAAACACTGGACTACAAGGTCAGTTCGAAAAAGGTAGGTGGTTCAACCTCACCAGCAACTCCTCAGAAACCCTATACAGTGTCACTATGAGTCGGAATCAACTCCTTACCACTAACAACAACAACTGGCTGTCCATAGTACTTTCAATACTCATTACCAACATCATAATTCAGAGGCATCATTTCTTCTGCAGTTTTACATATTCATTGTCTAGCTTTTGCACGCAAATGAGGTGACTGAAATACCATGGCCTGGGTCAGGCACGCCTTAGTCCTCAAAATGACATCTTTCCTTTTTAACACTTTAAAGAAAAGTTTGTAGCAGATTTGCCCAATTCAATACAATTTTTTGATTTTTTGACTATAGCTTTTATGGTGTTTGTTGATTGTTTTAGTCCTTGTCTCAAAAACAAAAAGAAAATGTAACTTTTTTTTTAGGAAGAAAAAGGCATAATGTGAACAGGGTAATAACTGGTAAGTTAAACAAGGAAAATATTGCTATTACTTCTGGTTGAAAGATGTTGTCTTCATGTAGGTCTGCACAGATTGAGAATGTGGTGTTCTACAACTTCACAGACAGAAAGCCCAACCCTTCAATGGTCACTAGGGTCAACATATATTATGTGGTATGCTGTTACAGGGCTGATTTCCTGATCTTGTTATCAAAAGTGTTAAAGGTTGTTGTTGTTGTTGTTGGGTGCCACCGAGTTGGTACCAACTCATAGCAACCCTATGAAACACTGCCGAGTCCTGAGCCAACCTCACAATGGTTGCTACACCTGAGCTCATCACTGCTGCTACCACTGTACCAACCTATCTCACTGGGAGTCTTCCTTTTTTTCTCTGATCCTTCACTTTAAAAAAGATATCCTTCTCCAGGGACTGTTACCTTCTGATAATATATCTGAAGTATGAGAGATGAAGTTTGACCATTCTGTCTTCCAAGGAGCACTTGGTTGTACTCCTTCCAACACAGATTTATTTGTTCTTTTGGCATGACATGGTACTTTTAATATTCTCCTCCAACACCGTAACTCAAATGCATCCATTCTTCTATGGTCTTCCTTATTCACTGTACAATTTTTGCAAGCATATGAGGTTATTGAAAATACCATGGGTTGGGGCAAGTGCACCTTAGTCCTCAAACTGACATCTTTGCCCTTCAACACTTTAAAAAGGTCTTGTGCAGCAGATTTGCCTAATGCAATACATTGTTTGGTTTCTTGATTGCTGCTTCCATGAGTGTTGATTGTTTATTCTTAGCAAAATGAAGTCTTTGACAACTTCAATCTTTTCTCCATTTATATGGATGTTGTTTATTGGTCCAGTGTTGAGGATTTTTGTTTTCTTTACATTGAGTGCAACCCATACCGAAGACTGTGGTCTTTGATCTTCATCAGTAAGTATCTGAAAGTACTCTTCATTCTCAGCAAGCAAGGTTGTATCATCTGCATATCACAGGTTGTTAACGAGTCTTCCTCCAATCCTGATGCCACATTTTTCTTCATATAATCCAGCTTCTCAGATTATTTGCTCAGCATATAAACTGAATAAGTATGGTGGAAGAATACAACTCTGTTGCACACCTTTCCTAATTTTAAACTGTTCGGGGTTCCCTTGTTACGTTCTAACAACTGCCTCTTGGTCTATGTACAGGTTCCTTATGAGCACAGTTAAGTGTTCCAGAATACTCATACTTCGCAATGTTGTCCATAGCTTGTCATGATCCACACAACTGAAAGCCTCTGCGTAGTCAACAAAGCATAGGCAACATCTTTCTGGTATTCTCTGCTTTCAGTCAAGATCTATCAGACATCAGCAATGATATCCCTTGTTCTACGTCCTCTTCTGAGACTGACTGGCTTGAACATCTGGAAGTTCTCTGTCAACGTGTATTTGCAGTCGGTTTTGTATACCTTTAGTAAAACTGTACTCACATCTTTGGAAAGGTGTTAAAGGTAAACACCCTAAAATTACACTAGATGACCAATTTTCACTTTATCCTTCACCCAAATGAGCTAAAAGGATGACTCTGTTCTTGACTGCAGTTGAGAAAACCTAAATATTGAATCTAATCAGAATCATATTCTATATTGCAAGTCAGCTTTTCACAACCCCAAGAGCACAGAAAAGCAAAGAATCAACTTGGATGAAACTCTCCACCTTCTGTCTGACACACATCTTTTCTAAGAAAGATAATGTTGGTTTTAACTATGTGATCTATCAAAAGATGCTCAGTGGTGGACTGCTGGTGGGGTATAACTCCAAAAGTACATGGGAACCACTTACCCTGAGATAGGCCATGAGTTCCCGTAAAGCTGGGATCTTACTTTTCTCCAGCATAGTCTTCAAGGAGATGATAATTGGAATAATATTTTCTATGAAATTTCTCTTCTGAACCTATAGTAAAACAAACCAAGATGCATACATTTTAGACTTCTAAGCAAATTTTGGCATTTCCTTGACTAATTCTTTCAGTATAGCTGATGTAGCATTTGAGAACTAAGGTGCTACTGATCCAAACTATGGTATATTTCCAACTGCCTCGTATGCATGCGAAAGCTGGACAATGAATAAGGAAGACCAAAGAATTGACATATTGAATTGCAGTGTTAGTGAAGAATATTGATATACCATGGACTGCCAGAAGAATGAATAAATCTCTACTGGAAGTGCATCCAGAATGCACCTTAGAGACGAGGATGGTGAGTCTTTGTCTCATGTATTTTGGTTAACAAAAAAGAGGAAGCCCCTCAACGAGATGGACTGACACAATGACTAGAACAGCATGCTCAAACACAGCAACGATTGAGAGGACAGTATAGGATGGAGCAACATTTCAGTTTGCTATACATGAGGTTGCTATGAGCTAGAACCACTTCCATGGTATCTAACAACAACATTCAATACAATGTTATTTTTGGTTCTGATGTTGGCACTACATAAAAACCACCACTTCTGTACTGGAGACTTTATAAGCACAGCTTCAAAACACTCAAATGGCTTTGTAAAGTAGGAAGGGGATACATACTATTTCTATTTTCTACATGACAAAAATAAATCGAAATGCTGATGAAATTTACAAAAGCACTGAACCTCCACAGATCTATCACAGGTCCTTGACTCTTGACTCCAGATTCATCCCCTCCATTCAGCATCCTACCTCTAGGAATGAAAACTAATTCCTCTCTGGCTAGCCAAAGGACATTCTGTCTTCCTGTTCTGTGACTGATAATGATCTGAAAACTGCTAAGCAAGAGCAGTCAACCTTTTTATCTCTTGTTCCCTTTTTTGGTGACCTCTGCACACATTTAGAAAATTGTTATTTATTTGTCCAACCTTGACTTGATCAAGTGTTGATAATACTTACTAAGAATGGTCACTAACTATAAGTGTTTTATAAGAAATCTCTTAGAATTAAAAATGAGTCAGTCACATATTTGCAAGATTTATCCTTCTGATCGTGAAAATTACTTCTTCTATTTAAAGGTATAAAGGAGACCTGGTGGTGCCGTGAATTAGGCATTGGGGGTTGTTCATTGCAAGGCTGGCAGATCAAACCTACCAGCTTCTCCAAAGGACAAAGACGAGGCTGTCTGCTCCCATAAACATTTATAGTCTTGGACATCCTATGCAGGTCTATCGACTCTATGGCAGTAGGTTTGGTTTGGGTTTTGGCATATGTTCCTTGCTTGTAAACAACTAATTTTTTAAAGTGTTATCAGTTTCTGACATAAAGAGCAGAGAAATAGAAAACCTAATAAATACAAACCTTACCAAACAGTAAGTTTAGGGATAGTCTTAAACAGTGGTTTATGGAAACTTCCAAACTTATTCTTACGCCAAACAAACACACTACAAGAAAACTATAGAACAACATCCCTTATGAATATAGAAACAAAAATCCTCAACAAAGTAATAGCAAACCAAAACCAAGTCTAGAATATTAAAAAGAATTATACACCTTGGCTAAAGGAAAATCAATTCAGGTGATTCAATATAAGAAAATCAATCAATGTAATATAACATATTAATAAAACAAAAGAAAGGACCAGATGATTATTTCAGTTGATGCAGAAATCCAACCCCCTTTCATGATAGAAAAAAACTAAAAAAACCCCTAAGAATAGGAGAGAAATTTCCCAATATGATAAAGGGCACTTATGAAATACAGTTAACATACTCAGTGTGAAAAATATCCCCTTCCAAAGATAAAGACCAAAACGAAGATGTACACTTTTACCACTCATATTCAATATTGTTCTGAAGTCCTAGCCAGAGTAACTAAGCAAGAAAGAAAGATAAAGGTATCCAAACTGAAAAAGAAGAAATAAAACTAGAGAAAATACCAAAGACCACAAGAAAGTTTCTAGAGCTAATAGAGGACTTCAACACAGTGACAGGATATAAGGTCAACACACAAAAATCAGTTATGTTTCTAACACACCAGCAATGCAAAATTAGAAAAGGGGAAGAAAAAAGAATATATTACATTACAACAGCATCTAAAATAGTAACATATCTAGGGATAAATTTGCCCAGGGAGGTTAAAAAAAAAAACCTCATACATTGAAAACTGTAAAACATTGTGGATGGATCGGAAGACTTACTACTGTTAAGATGTTAATACAAACCAAAGTGATCTCCAGACTCACTGCAATCCCTATCAAAATTCAAACAGCTTTTTGTGCAGAAAAGGAAAAGCCAATCCTCAAATGAATATGGAACTGCAAAGAGCTCTGAGTAGGCAAAGTAATCTTGAAAAAAATCAGAACAAAAGAAGATTCTCACTTCCCAATCTGAAAATTATATTACTATGAAGTAATAGTAATCGAAATACTCTGGTACTGGTATACAGACAGACATACAGATTAACTGACATACAGAATAGAACTGAGCACTGAGAATGACCCCATACATATTTCTGATTTTCCCCAAGGGACTCAGGCACAAATGGTGCTGAGACAACAGGATCACTGTATAAATAAAGTTGGAGCCATAAATTATACCATATACAAAAATTTATTCAAAATAGAGCAAGAACCTAAATGTACTAACTAAAACTATAAAACCCTTAGCAGAATAGGATTGTTGTTGTTCTTAAGTGTCATGGAGTCAGTTTAGACTCACAATGACCCTGTATAAAGTTTCCGAGTAGTGGCTGGTGGGTTTGAACTGCTGACCTTGTGGTTATCAAGCCAAGTGCTTATCCTCCAGTACCACACCAGGGCTCCTAGAAGAAAACATAAGGTATTCTAAGTTTTTCATTTTTCATAAAGTCCATTCTATCCATTTTTTTGTTGTTTGTGCTTATATCTAAGAATCCATTGCTAAAAACTTATGCTTTCTTCTAGGGTACTATAATACTTCAGACCTTGTTTTTTGGCAACAGATTCTTAGATATAATAGCAAAAGCACAAACAGCAACAACAAATGGATGCACTGGACTTTATGAAAAATGCAAAACTTTTGTACATCAAAAGACTTTATCAAGATAGTGAAGATACCTACAGATTGAGAGAAGATTTCTCTAAAGATGTACAAATATACAACAAGCACGTGAAAAGATGCTCAAGATCCTTAGTGAGTAGGGAAATGCAAATCAAAATCACAGTAAGGATACCACTTCACCCCATTTAAAAACTAAAAATAACAAGTGTTGTAGAGGATGTGGGAAAATTGGAATCCTCTTCCATTGCTGGTGAGATTGTAAAATGGTACAGCCACTGCAGAAAAGAGCTTGGTGAGTTAAATGCTATCATATGACCCAGGAATTCTACTCCTAGGTAAGGTATACATAGCTAAAAGACTTAAAATCAGGAATGCAAACAGATACTTATAGGCAAAGCTCATTACAGCACTATATTCACGAAAGTGGAATACAGCCTTAAATGTTCATCAAAAGATGAAGGATAAACACAATGTGACACATACATACAATGAAATGTTATACAACTACAAAGAGAAAGAAAGTCCTAGTACATGCTGCAACATGGTTATAGCCTGGAAACCAGGATGAGTGACAAGTCAGTCACAAAGGCACAAATACAGTATGAACTCATTTATATAATAGGCACGTGCATTAGTGGCTACTGGGGGGGCAGGGAAAACTCAGTGTTTAGGAGACATTGAGCTTCTGGTTAAGTGTGATGGTAGAATTTGGGGCTGGATAAAGATAATTATTAATCAACTTGATGTTTATAATCAACATCACTGAACTATTGATGTGAAGGCTGGAACTGTCAAATGTTTTGTTATGTACATGGTTACTACAATAAACAATTGTTAAACAGCATTTACTAAGAATATGCTATTTCACATACTGCACAATAGTGTTTGAACTTAAGACAGTATAGAACAGACAATGTAAATGAAAAATAAATTTTAATGAAGGACCATAAAGAACTGTTTAAACAGGTCAATGTCCATTATATATATTTTACAATAAATTTTTTTTGTAAGTGGCTCACATACATTCACTCAAATATTATCAAACACATTGGCATCACACACAGAGCTTACCTAAGCGGACCCAGAAATGAAGGAAACCGTTCCTGCTTGCATTTGCTTGTACATTTCGTTTGTGTGTACATTTCAGAAAGTGGCATGAGACAGAGATATACTGGGTGCTCTGGCAACCTGGTGTGGTGTTGTACGACTAAGCACTGAATGGCACACAACAACAGTTGCACTATGAAGGAGGCATGCCCAGGCAGGAAGGGAGTAGGAAAGAAGTAACACCTAGGACATGGAGGAAATAATTAGGAAAGGAAAACAAGCAAGCGGGAAACAGTGCTCCAGGAAGAACCAGTGTGCAAAGGAACACTGTGGAATGTGGAATGTAAAGATTGGAGAGATGAGGAAGGGTAGAGGAAGCATGGCACAAATAAGGAAAGATGTATGTTTCACAGCTTTGAACTAGAATAAGGATCTGATTCAAAGGAAACAGGAAGATACCAATCTACATCTTAAAGACATTTTTAGTGAGGTGTAACATATACTCTTACAATAAAATTTACCCCTTTTAAGTGAAAAGTTCAATGAGTTCTGAAAAAAGTGTATACTGAGTAACCAACACCACAATATAGGTATAAAGCATTTCCTTTATCCCAGGCAGGACCCCCATTCCTCTCTGCTGTTCATCTGTCTCCAACTTACTTTAAGCAGGAAAATAAAATGATCACATCTGTATTTAAGAAATATTGTTTTCGCATTAATGTCATTCATGCCCTGGAATAGAAACAAACTAGGGACAAAAGGATGCTGAAAATTGCTGGAAATGTTAAAGGCTTAAATTAAATTACTTCAGTACCAACGGAGATGCAAACTAGACATGAATTCATGCAATAAAACAGACAGGATCTGCCAAATTAGATGTGAAGAAAGTCCAAATCTTTGGAGTCAAAAACCTTCAGAGGTCAGGTGGGGAATACAAGGTAACAATCCAGGTGAGACACAGAAACATGGGCCGGGTGGGGACTATAGCAACTAAGCTGTTCACCTAAATCAATCAGAGTCAAATGGCCAAATAAAACCAACACCTGGCATGAAAAACTCTGGCCTGGAGAGCACTGGGTTTCTTTTCTGGACAACTTTGTGACCAATGGTTCCATTCTCCACAACACAGACTATGGGAGAAGGAAAAGCAAGTCATGTTGTCTTGTTTACTTAGTTTTTTTCTTGGAGTGGGGACAGCAGTGGGAAGCATAAGAAAAGAAGAGATGATTCATTTGGTTTTGACACAGTAAGTTTGAGATACCTCAGGCATATCCACGCAGGCAGTGGAACTGGGTTAAAGCTTACAGGGAAGGTGGAGCTAGAAACATGGGTTGAGAATAAACACCAACTAGTACAGAATCCTGGTGTGGTGCACTGGACTATAAGATAAGCACTGGACTACTAACCACAAGGGAAGCAATTCAAACTCACCAGCCATCCCTATACAGGGTTGCTATGAGTTGGAACCGACTTGGCAGCAGTTAACAACAGAAGAGCGTTAAAGCCATTCAAAAGACTGAAATTAGAATCAGGCACACCACCAATACTTGAGAGGCAAACAGGAAGCAGAGTGAGAGCAGACATATTCTTAGGGGAGACTCCCACACTCACTTGTGAGATGAGTTTTTTCTGTGCTTCTTGCATAACTACATTGGCCAAAGCCATGTCATCGTCTTCTATCAGAAAGTCTTTATCTGGTTTAGACCTCATTGCCAAAAGTTTGATCTCCTTTGAGCTGAGGACTTCAAAGGTATCTGAGAGTAACTCATTGGCTTCCATATCCAGGGGAAGGATGCCATCCACGAAGCATGCTGAGATAAAGCACAGTGAAAGAAAATACAAAGGATCAGTCTCTGGGAAACCGCAACCACTGCCTGGGAAGTGGGATATCATAGTGCAGGGAGGGCCCATCTGGGCTGCAGTAGTTGCTGCTGGAGCCAGCAGATGTGGAGGAAGAACAAAGACAAGGGTCTTCCTGCACTGGCAGGTTCACATTTGCTACAGACCAGCTGGGTCCATTATCAACACAGAATTTTACTTTTAAAAACACATTTTATTCCAAACACACCAGACCTACCCAAAATATTAAGGCAGATTTTAGAAGTGATATTGAACCGCTGTTCATCTGTAAAGTGTTCTAGAAGAAACTTGTAGATTTTCATTCGTTTCTCTTTGTTTGTCTTTCCCTTCAGTGAGAACAGTCGCTTCTCTCTATGGCAAAACAAGACACTTTTACTGCATCATGTGGGCATGGGTAAAAAGAAGCTTCACATAGCACTGTGAGGAGCCTAATGTTCATTACAGGAACTTCCCTCAGGAATTTATTCTTACAAAAGGAAAGCAAGGACTGCCACAATAAACACTTAGGTTAGAGTCCCTACACAAAACAGCTGGACATTTCCTGAGTATGACCCAAGTCTTACCAAGAGAAAGAGACCATCCTAGTTGACTCACTGACCTTTCTGACTGAGGGAATTTGTTATACTTCTCATGCTTCTCATAATTATTGAAGTGAAAAATACACTCAATGAAGTGCTGGAAGAACATGACAGGATTTCTCTTCAGTAACAGGTGAACCAGGCAAAATTCCCCAAAACTGTGAAGAAAAGAAAGAGAATCATTTGCTACTTTCAGGCAGCTTCTAAAAATATACTAAGGATTTTACAATACAGAGAATTATAAATAAGGATAAAGGATAACTAAACTATTCCAATAAACAGCTACATCCAGAGCTAAATCAAGCTATAAATTTAGCTTATTTTGTCATCCTTATCCAACAGCCTGCTTTTAGAATTCAAGGTCAATGTAAAGGCTTTCTCTACCAGATTCCTTTTCAGAATTCTAATAAAATGTTGTTATTCACTTACACTTCATAAGGGAAAAACAACCAACCAACCTTCCCTAAATTGCTTCTTAAGTAGAGGCCCACGGTCCTTAAGACTTATGCAAGGATAATGGTCACCTGAAAATGACCACTTGGTCTTCATTCCCCAACTTCAAGTCTACTGACCACAACAGTGAACAAAAACCCAATTTTAGCAGCTAGGGCCTATTTAATAATAAAAAATAATGACAAGAGCTTTGTAGGTTAGGACAGCAGGACAAGTATCTTCAATGGTACTTTACTTTCACTGACCTTCTCCAAAACATTCAACAATCTTCCCTACACTTCTCTCCTTTCAACTTGGGCCCCAAATCTGGAACACTTGAGACACAGGCATCACTAGCACTACACCAATTTAGAGGGCAAAATTCAAATGGTTTCCAAACCAACGTGTATGGACAAAGGCCCAAGTTGTTCGACTCTAGGCTACATGACAGTTTGTTTTACGACAACAATAGGTCAGGGAAGGCCAAGGGACTGAGCTTTGTACTTAGCTGTCAGTCAAAGTATATTCATACTATTCAGATCAATGCTTCTATTTTATGTCAGAGCTCAAACACAATTTCCAAATACTAGGAGTACCAGTGAATCTTCAACTGCAGAGGAGCACTGACAAGGGTAATCTAAATGCCTTATACTTGGCTTTGAGGGAGATGTGTCTCCTCCTAATGTTTTCCTCAAGGGCACAGGTGGTGCAAAGTTAGAGTACTTGGCTGCTAACTGAAAGGTCGGTGGTTTGAACCACCATTAACTCCTTAAGATCTGCTCCTGTAAAGGTTTCTGCCAAGGAAACCCTATGGGCACAGTTCTCTTCTGTCCTATAGTGTGCTATGAGTTGGAATCAACTTGATGGCACAAAGCAATAACAATGTTTTCCTAAGCTAATTACTCAGTTTGCATTTGTAGAATACACATCAATTAAAAGTCAGGGAAAGCAGCTCTGAAATTGTGATTAAAGTAAAGCCTACATAAAAATTCCGTGGCAGATAATCACATTATGACTTTCTACATAGCAAATAAGGAAACTGTTTGACTTATAAATATAAAACAAACCTCTATTCCTGAGAAGATATTCACTAAAGGCCAGTATACTCTGGCATAGCATGGCCATTTTTAATTATTTCAAGCAGTTTTATATTGGAACAAGACCCAGACTCTGCTCACTCAGGAATACATCAAAACCCATATGGGTGCCTGGCTATCAGAGAGGAAAGGAAAGGAAAGAAGGACAGATGAATATGGGAAACACAAGACAGGAGGTGGGAAGAGTGTTGTTACGATGTGGGCACTGCAAGCAATGTCACGATACAAAATGTGTACAAACTGTTTTGCTCTGTAAACTTTCACCTAAATCACAATACAAAATTAAAAAAAAAAAAAAAAGTATATGTTTATAGATAGATATAGATACATACATACATACATGGACTCCTGGTGTGACTCTGTAGAATAAGCACTGGGCTGTGAACCACAGTCAGCAGTTCACACCTACCAGCTGCTCCTCAAAAACCCTATACAGGGTCGCTATGAGTCAGAACCGACTCGACAGCATTTATTACTTATGAGTGCAATGTGAAAATTGGAAACAAAGAGGAAAGATCAGCAGTTGGAAAATATGGCCTTAAGGATAGAAAGCAGGCTGGAGATTGCACAATAAAATTGTGTAAGACCAATGACTATTTTTTACACATCACTTTTTACAATAACATAAAAGGTGACTATATATGTGAGCCTGTGGGTTAATGCACTGGACAGCAAGGTGGGTATGAACTACAAGACTGGCAGTTCAAGCTCACTAGCTGCTTTTTGAAAACCCTATACAGGGTCGCTATGGGTTGAAATTGACTTGACGGCACTTAACAACAACAATCTATATGAGCCACTTCAGGTGGAATATACAGGAATCAAATGGAAGAGACCATGAAGAAGGCTCTCTATTATCAGCCAAAACAAGGCCAAGGGTTGACTGTGGAACAGACCATTAATTGTTCATATGCAAATTCAGGATGAAGCTGAAGAATATTAAAACAAGTCTAAAAGACCCAAATTATGACCTTGAGTATATACCACTTGAATGTATAGACCATCTCAAGAACAGATGTGACACACTTAACATTCATGACTGAAGACCAGACAAGTTGTAAAGTTCTGGGATGACAACCTACATAAAGAAAGCAAAAGGCCATTAAAAAAACAGGAATGAAAGAAAAGCCCAAAGTGGATGTCAGAAGACCTCTGAAGCTTGCTTTTAAACAAAGTAGCTACAGCAAATGGAAGAAATGAGGCAGCAAAAAAGCTTAACAGAAAATTCAAAGGGCAGCTCGAGAAGACAAAGTAGTATGACGAAATGTGCAAAGACCTGGAGTTAGAACATAAAAAGGGCACAGAACACACTCTGCATTTCTCAAGATGAAAGAACTGAAGAAAAATTCAAGCCTGGACAAGGATTCTATGAGCAAAATATTGAATGAAGCAGGAAGCATTTAAAGGATATTGAAGGAATACACAGTCACTATGTCATAAAAATTGACATTCAACCATTTCACGAGGTAGCACTAATTACGTACCAATGATATCGAAGGAAGAAACTCAAGCTGTACTGAAGGCATTGCTGAAAAACAAGGCTCCAGTAACTGACTGAATGCCAACTGAAATATTTCAACAATTTGATGCAGGGCTGGAAATACTCTATGCCAAGAAATTTGGAGGGCAGCTACCAGATCAACCAGCTGGAAGGGAACCGTATTTGTGCCCATCCCAAAGAAAGGTGAACCTACAGAATGTGGAAATTTACAAACAATATCAATGATACTACACACAAATAAAATTTTGCTGAAGATAATTATAAAATGGTTGCAGCAGTACATCAACAGGGAGCGGCCAGAAATTCAAGCTGAATGAAGAAGAGGACTTGGAGCCAGGGATATCATTGCTAATGTCAAATGGATCTTGGCAGAAAAGTAAAGAATACCAGAAAGATGCTTACTGGTGTTTTACTGACTATGCAAAAGCAAGCAACCGCGTGAAGCATAGCAAACAACAGATAACACTGTGAAGAATGGGTATTCTAGAACATTCAATTGTGCTCATGCAGAACCTGTACACAGACCAAGAGGCAGGTATCCAAACAGAACAAAGGGATACTGCAGGGTTTTAAATCAGGTAAAGTGTGCATGGGATACTGCAGGGTTTAAAATCAGGTAAAGGACTGTATCCTTCCACCATACTTATTCAATCACATGCTGTGCAAATACTCTGAGAAATTGGACCATACGAAGAACAATGTGACATAAGGATTGGGGGAAGACACATTAGCAACATGCAATACGCAGATGACATAAATCTTGCTTTCACAAAGTAAAGACGATCTGAAGCATTTACTATTGAAGATCAAATATGGCCTTCAATATGGATTAAAACTCAATGTAAAGAAAACAAAAGTGCTCACAAGGGAAGTAATAAACAACATCATGATAAATGGAGAAAAGACTGAAATTGTCAAGGATTTAATTTTACTTGGATCCACTATTAACACTCATGGAAGCAGCATTTAAGAAATCAAATCATGTACTGCATTGGACAAATCTGCTGTAAAAGACCTCTTCAAAGTGTTAAAGAGCAAAGATGTCACTTTGATGACTAAGATGCACATGACCCAAGCAATAGTATTTTCAATCATCTCATATGCATGTGAAAGTTGGAAAATGGAAAAGAAGACCAGAGAAGAGTTGATGTATTTGAATTATGGTTGCTGGTGAAGATTATTGAAAGCATAATGGTCTGTAAAAACAACAACAACAACAACAAATCTGTCATGGAAGAAGTATATTCAGAATGCTCCTCAGAGACAAGGATGGCGAGACTTACTCTAGACATGTTGTCAGAAGGGGTCAGTCCCTGAAAAGTATAACATGCTTGGTAAAGCAGAGGGTGAACAAATAAGAGGAAGACCCCCACCCCCACCCCAACAAGATAGCATGACACTGTGGCTACAAGAATGGGCTCAAGCACAACTGTGAGAATGATGCAAGATAAGGCAGCGTTTCATTCTGCTATGCACAGGGTTTCTATGAGTTGGGGGCCAAGCAAGACAGCACCTCACAATAATTACAAATCTTTCTTGACTTTTTCTAATAGTGGATTTTACAATATTTGCCTTTTTGTGACTGACTTATTTTACTCAGCATAATGTCCTCCAGGTTCATCCATTTTATGAGATGTTTTGTGAATTCATTGTTATTCCATTTATGTATATACCATAGTTGGTTTATCCATTCATCCATTCAAAGCCACTTAAGCTGTTTCCATCTATTTGCTACTGTGAATAATGCTGTGATAAAGATGGTGTGCACTTATCTATCCATGTCAGGGTTCTTACTCCTCTAGGATACATAGCTTGTAAGAGGTAACTTATTTCTTGTAGCCTTGTTATCTTGTTATCCTTAGCTACTACCGAAAATCCAACCCTCTCTTGTTCTTTCGTCCCTCCTCATGCCTATCTCATACCTGTATTTTCTATGTTTCTTTTGTCTGAATCTAACTTCCTATTACTACCCGAACTCCCACTTTGAGTCCTAATGTTGTGAGCTCTGTATTCCAGGTTCCACAATAAATCAAGACCCTAAAATCTGTAATTAATTCTCAGAGCACTTGCTTACTTTCTTATTATAAATTAAAGCTGGTTTTTCTTCAAGGACTCCAGTTGCCTTACG